GGCTTGGAGGGGTTTTGTTTTGTTAAGTTTTGTAGAAATTTAGTCTCTATATGTAAATTTGGAGGATTTTTTTTTTAAAGAGGATAATTATGGTAATCTTTAATTCTATATAAGGAATAATATTGATGTAATCAGAGCTGTACTGTATCAGAAACTCTTCAGTGCCTGTTTGGAGTTTTCTTGTCTCATATGGACTATGGAATTTATTTTTTTGAGGAAAAAAAAATTATCTGTGAGTCTCTCTTCGTGTATTCTTTTTTTTTTTTTTAACTACTGCCTGCTGGTTGGTGTCCAACGACCATCAGAAAAGGTTAACAGGATCTGTCCCAAATACCTCGCCCTCCACGCAGCCCCTGCCAGAAATACCTCACCCCCAGGCCAAAATCACCATCACCCATCACTCGCTTCCTCCCTGCACACCCCCCACACTGCAGGTCTCTCCATCTCCCATCCCCTGCCATTGGTTTTGTGTGTTTTCCTGAGGCTGCAGTTACCATTTGTTCTCATTAAAGCTTTTTTTTCCTTTTCTTTTTCCTTTTTTTTTTTTTTGTTTTTTTGGACTTTAAATAAATATTTAAAACTGAGGCAATGAAACGGGAGTGGAAAATGGTTGTGTTTTTTTTTTTTTTTGCTTCTTCGTAGGAAACTAAGAAAGGGGGGGAAAAAAAGGAGGGGAAAGAAAAGGCAACATGAAGGGGCAAAGCAGGGGCAAAAAGAGGGAGGAAAAGAAGGTGGAGGAGGGAAAAACCCAGTTATGCTGCACCACAGACCCAGCCTTGGCTGGTCCCAGTTGCGACAGGAGCAGTGGAAGGGGCTGAGCTGTGTTTGCTCACCCAGTGCTCTGCCCCTTCCCAGCAGTGCTGGGACACCCCGGGGCACGATGAGGTGCTGGGTGATGGCACCAGGTCAGCTCTGGCACTAAAACCCCCTGGGTCAGGGCTGTCCCTCACACGAGCTGCCGGTCCTGAATTGCGCAAAAACAAACACACCTAATAAATCAATCACCGCACTTAATTACAAAGCCAACATTAGAGGAGCTCTGAGGCGCTGTTAAATGAGGAGACTCTGCATGTGAAGGAGTTGCAATTTATGTAGTCTGTTAAAAGCCTGAGCACACCCCACGGATGAGTCTCCTGCCTCGTACCCAGGGCCCCATTCCCCACAGAATCCCCCCTGGCATCTGCCCCCTGAGAGCACGTGTGGACCGCTGTGCCAGCCCCGTGCCCTGGCAGGGAGCAAGGCCAGTGTGAACTGAAGCCTGGAGGTGAACAACCTCTGGAGGGAAGCCACATCTGGGTCCCCTCAGTGCCCTCAAGGCCTCCAAACACACCTGGAGCTGCCAAGTGCTCCACACCCACAAAATTAGTTGCAGTTTCCCAGAAAAAAAGCCTGCACTGGTGAAGCGTTGCGTTGGTGGGGTTCTCTCATCTCTTTCTGTTGGAGAAATCCAAGATTTTGCAAGTTGAACTTCCACCACCTGCTATTGCTTCACGCCTGAGCAAACAGCCCAACAGTGGAACAGGCACGCTGGGGCTGGGGATGTCCAGCGCTGCTGGCACCTGTATATAAGGGACAGAGCTGATCCACAGCCTGGCAGAGCAGGAACATCCTCCCAGCTGGCCAGGAGATGCTGGCCACCCTCACCCTCCTCCTGGGGCTGCCCCTGGCTCTCGCCACCGAGCCCCCCACCTGCGCCCCACTCGTCCCGATCACCTTCGACAACACCACCGTCCCCAGGGTAAGCCCTGCCCTCATCCGAGGCACCCATCCTCTCCTTTCCTATCAGCATTCCTAGCCTTTACAGGTCCAGGAAGAGGTTATAGACCCATCAGCTCCATGCTTATCTCGCTGTCTATCCATGCTGCTTTTCCTTAAAAAACAATATTCCAGACTGCTGTACAGGGGCACAGCGAAGGGGTGAAGCCTTGCAGCTCTGCACACACTCAATCTCATGAGCAGGCACTTTGGGAGGCTCCTGCTTCCATTTCCTCGTGCCAGCCAGGCTGGGCAGCACCATCCCAGTGCTTCGTCACTCTGTTTTAAGTTCTTCAAGTGGTGGCAACTCAGGTCACGAGCCTCCATCTGCAAACCCTTCACTGCATAAACAGTATTTAGTCCCTTGGGAGTGTTTAATGGGAGGAAAGCAATGAGAACTGGGCACAGAGCAGGAGGGACACCACGACAGAAAGAACTGGCCATCCTGGGAACTGGAGCAGCACTTTGGCAGAGAGGGGATAAAACCCAGGGGATAAAGCCCATCAGCCTGGATCCTGCCCCAGGTGGTCACCCACCAAGGGTCCTCGTGGCAGTGGGATGGGAGGACACAGCATCTGCTTTCACTCATGTGGTGCCCGTGGGTGAACCAGGCATGGCTGCCCCAACCTTCCCCGCTTCCCTCCTCTCTGCAGCTCCTGGGACAATGGTTCTACATCGCCGGTGCCACCAGGTACCCCCCTCACCTGGCAGAGATTAAAGCACTGACATTCGACGCTTTTTCCTTCTTCCCTGGTAGCCATGAGGACGAGCTCAACATCACCGAAATCATGAGACTGTAAGGACAGGCATTCACCCCCTCATCAAGCTCCCCCATCCCCAGGGGCACTTTCACCTGCTGGTGCCATCCTCTGGGCTGAGGCACCCTGGCAAATTTGGGGCTGGAGAGCAGCTGTGCCACGTTTATTTAAGCTCTGCAGCCCCACTCAAGTTCCAAGTCCCTCGGCCTTGCTTGGGGCATTCTCAGGGGTATTTGCTCCATCTGACCTCTCTGCCCCGCAGGAACGAGACGTGTGTGGTGAAGAACAGCAAGATCCAGGTCTTGCATCAGAACTCCACCCTGGTGCACGGTGAGGCCCAGTCAGGGCAGAGGGAGGGGAAAGGGGGACGCAGCTTCACCTGGGACTCTCCTGCTTCTGTCCCCCAGAACCTGGCACCCTGAGCCCTTTTACACCTGAAGTCGTGTCTGGAGGTGGGGGGAAAAATTTCTTCCACCCCACACAATGGGTACAGCAGCGCTGTGGGACCAGACTGGTCCCCACTGGGATGAGTCTCAAGGGTAAAAGGGGATGAGCAGACCCTGCCAGCTCTGCCCAGGGTGAGACCCAGCATGGGGTGATCCCACTCTCTCCATGCCTTCCAGTTGACAGTAACCAGGTGGCTTCCATGGCCACACTGATCCAAAGCGACAAGGACCTGCTGATCCTGAACGAAATCAACATTGACTCGCCAACTCTGAGCCTCTCAGGTGAGTGGATGCTGCCTGGGTACTTGGGGCAAAGCCCTGTCCAGGGACAACTCAAGGGGCACAGACACCACCAACACTCACAGGCAGGGCAAAAAGCCCCTTTTCCACTGATACAGAGAGGGGAAAAGATGGGGGCAGGCAGCAGTGAGCTCCACATCTGCACTATGGGGATCACCCAGGAGCAAAGCACCCCTAAAACTCCCTTTTGTTCCCCCCCCCACTTCTCCATTTCTCTGACAGCACGGACACCCAATGTGAGCAAGGAGCACATGGAGGAGTTCAAAGCCCACCTGCACTGTCTGGGCTTCACTGAGGAGGACGTGTTCTACACTTCCAGAGAGGTACCAACCCCTGCCCAGGGTGGGCGAGCCCCAGGCCAGCTTCTGCCTCCAGCTGGGATGGGATTCTGGGTGGTGTGTGTGGTTCCCCACTGCAGCTTCCCCTCTGTGCATCCTCCCTCCTCCCTGAGCACCCAACCCAGCCATTCCTGGTGGTTTTGGGGCAAAGGGGCACTGACAGACACTCTCCCCTCTCTCATAGGATGCCTGTCCCCTGCCTGGGGAGAAAACAGATGAAGATGACACAGATCCACAGTTGGGATAACCCCCATGGACCAGGTCAGCTGCTCCATCCTCATCCTCCTCCTACAGCCAGGCTCAGTGCAGCCTCAGGAGCTCCTATCCAGGCTTTGTTTTTATCTCATGGATTAAACACCCGGTTTCACTGTTATCCTCTGGACCCAAAATAAACCCCTGTGTTACAACCACTGGCTGCTCCTGCTCCATCCTCTCTGGCACCTTGTGCAGGACCCCCTCCTGCACACCCTGCCCATGGTGCTGCATCTCCAAACCTGCCAAGAGGTGTGAAAAGCCCCAGACAAAACCCAAACAGGGCCAGGCGTGGCAGCAGGCACAGAGATGCTCATCCCTCACACCAGCTCTGTGGTGGCAGGGGATCCCATCCTCAGGACATTGGGATGTGAGCACCAACTCATCAGCCCCGACCCCACAGGGAGACACACAAACCTGCCAACCTCCTCAAGTCTTCTCCACCACAACACTTTTAGCACCTGAACATCCCACCCTCAATTTTCAAGCCAAATCCCACAAGGTTCCATCTGTGCCCCCATCAGGGGCCTTGCACTGGGGTCACAGCGGGGTGGGGTGACAAAGGGTGGCATCATGCCTTCCCTGAACATGGGAAAGGGGAGACAGTGGGAAAAACCATCACCCAGGGCCAGACCAAGGGATTCAGGGAGGCTTTGCTACCAGAAATAATGCCAGAGAAGCAAGTCTTGCCCTGACCGGCGGCACAGGGACAGCAGTGGGACAGGGAGGGGGAAATCAGGGAGCTGCTACAGATCTGGCCAGCAGGATGGGGGTGAGCTCCTGGGACCCATCAGTCCTATTTTTATGGCTGGTTTTGACAAGGACAGCAAAACCACGTTCCCTTCTCTTCAAAGCTGCCCTGGGTTTTGCCTGAGATGGGGGCAGCTGCACCGTACCTCATTAGCAGAGCAAGAGGCAACTACAGCAGCTGGTTTTTTTTTTTTGGGGGGGGGGGGGAATGGCCAAATTTAGGGAGGGTAGATTTAAGTTTTAAATGCAGCAACTGCATCACCCCCATCACCAACAGCCCACAGCCATCCTCGGCTGCAGCCGAGGCCAGGGCGAGCGTAAGCGCCTAAAAGGTGATGATTGCATCACCAGTGCGGAGCCAGCAGCGCGGGGCACATCCTGTCCCCTCCCAGCAGGGCTGCCAGAGCCAGCGGCCGAGCGAGCGCGTCCGTCTGTCCGGGCTGCGGGAGCCATGGCCGGGATCGTGCTCACCCTCGGCATCGCGGTGCTGCTGCCCACGGACGCCTTCCCCTGCCCAGCCCTGCGCCCCCACAACGCCACGGCCTCCAAGGTAGGAGAGACACGAGCCCTGGGGGGCTGCCCCGCTCCCTCAGATAACTTAGGGGTGCTCCGCCAAGCCTCCACGTCCCCTGGGAGAGGGGGAGACCCCACCTCGTCCCCTCCCGGCACATCTGCCAAGTGGGTGCCCTCAGTGGAACACCTGCAGCTTTCCGAAACACCCCTAATTGCCCGGTTTTCTCGTGGATACCCCAGCAAGTCCCAAGAGCAACCTCGAAAAAAGGGGAGTGGCTGGGTATTTTTTGGAGCAAATCCCCCACGGCAGCGCCGGGCTGCCCTGACCCTTCTGCACCACCTAGAGCACCCACAGCTGGCGCCAGCACCTTTTCCAATCCCCACACTCAGCTGTTTTTTTTCTCCTCTGGTATGTTTGCAAAGGTTTCATCCGTTTGCTGCCAATGTGGCGCAAGAGGCAGAACTCGCAGACGCACCAGTTTTGCCACGGGGAGGGTGGGAATCTCCTCCCCACAGCTCTCCCCTGCAAAACCAGCAGCCCTCACCTCCCTGCCCCTCTCTCCCCACAGCTGCTGGGAACGTGGCTCTACGTGGCCGGGGCTGCCCAGTTCCCCAGGCACCTCCTGGAGATGCTGCTCATCGACCACGGGCACCTGTACGTGGAGCCCCTCACGGATGGGCAGGAGCTGCTCATCACCCAGCACGTGGCCGTGTAAGATGCAGCCCCCAAACCCATCCCCTCCCACCTTCTGCAGCCCCACAGCCCCTCAGTACAAAATATGGGCATGATCTCAGATTGATTTCTCCAAAAAGACTCTCCCCTGGATGCTCTGTGCATCCTCTCCCATCTCTTCCTCACTCCATTTAATTATTTATTTCAACAGTCCCCGGGTTTGGGTGAATTTTGCAGGGCACAGAGGTCTCACAGGCACCAGGCCCTGTGGGCAAGGAGAAGACCTCTGTGGAGGAGGAGACCTCTCCAGTGCCACAGCCACTGATTCTGCCAGGCACCAAAAGATGTTTCCCTTTGCAGGGTCAGACTTTCAGAGGATAATTTTTTTTTTTTCTGTGCCAACACAGGCAGCAATTTGTAATTTCAGTTATTTCAGGGTGGAAAAACATCTCATGCCTTAATTTTAACAGTGACAGCAATTAACGCTGTGAAGGAGGTGGCAGATGCCCGGTGTGGGGTCAGGACAGGGCTGGGTCTTTGTTGGTCCTTTCCAAGCCCATGGCATCACCCCCTTTCCCCCCTCTCTCTCCAGAGGGGACCAATGTCTCACCAACAACCTCACCTACTTGGAAATCGCTGCTGGTAACACCACGCTGGTGAAGCACGGTGAGCACCCATTATCCCCCAGCCTCTGCTTTTCCATGGATTGAGACACACAAAGAGCCTGTGTCCATGTTTTACATCATCTGGTGCATTTTCTTCCTGGGTCACTTTGCCTGTTTGAAGCCTCGGTGGGCTCCAAACAACTCCCCAGGGCCGGGGGACAACTCCCCGCACCAGAACACCCAGGGGATCACTGCCTGCCCTTCCAGCCACACTAAACCCCACAGAGCGATGCTGTTCCAGGAGCAAACCTGCTCCCATCCCTGCTGGAGAACACCACCTTGTTTGTGAAGTTATTTCACAATCCCTCGGGGAAAGGAGAGAACATTCCATGGCAGTTTTCAGTGAGTTAATGAAGCCTCTCGTTCTGAGTTGCTTCCCCCTCGCAGAGAGGAAACAGGGTGAGCCCTTCAGGGTGGGAACTGCAACCCCCTGGGTTGCCTCAGCATTCCACACCCTGCAGCACATTCCAACAGCAGGACAGGAGCTGGGTGACTTTGGCTCCTTCACACCCCAGCCTCGCATTTAAGAAATACAATTCAAATAAACCAAGAACCAAACAAGTCACCTCACGTCAGGACATTTGTCCCCACACACTGCTGAGGGCTGGATTCCAGGGGCTACTGGCGTTGCCCACACCTGGGCTGGGGTTTATTGCTGCTGCAGCACTAAAAAATCTGAATATTGTGGCTGTTCTTTCCCAGCCAAGACCCAGCAAACTGTGGGGACACTGATGAACCTCAGCTCTGAAGACCTTTTACTCATCCAGTACCAACTGCAGAGGGAAAGGACGTATTTGGGACTGTATCTCTACGGTACGGAAACTCCTTCCCAGAGTAACTCTAAGTTGTCATGGACACCAAAACACACACATAAAATTATCAACTAAAACCACACAACAGCTTGGTTTCACCAGCAGTCAGTGACTTTTCTGAGACCAACGCTCCAGGGGTCACAGGAGCATTTACAAACCCCATTAAACTCCACATCTCTTGGCAGAGCAGAAAGAACAAGTTAAAGGCCAAACCCACTTAGGCCATAAATATTCAAAGAACAGGAAGCAAACGCAATTCAGCATCGATATCATTGTAAAATCTCAATATTTTCAAGCCAACCATGATGTTTCAGTGCTTACCTCCCAGGGCAGAGCACGTGGCTTTGCAGTGCCAGCACAGGCAAAGCTGATCAGATCTACCCACAACCTCATAAAGCAGTTTTAGACCCTGATAAAGCTCCCCATCACCCATCCAAGCTGCAAAGCAATTGCTTAATAGAGTTTGAAGGTACATGTAGAAAACTGCCTCTGTACTCAGGCTTGGACCCTCCCAACACCCCAGGAATGTCAGACTATCCTGCCATCCCTTAAAGCAGACAGAACTGGAGTAGTTTGGGAGATTAAAAAAAGTGATGCCCAAAACACCTGGTTTTGTTACCAGTCCCTATTTAACTCCTGGCAAATGCTTTCTCCTCCTCCAGCCCGGAACCTGAGCATGAGCACAGCTGACCGTGAGGAATTCGAGCACCACGCCAAGTGCCTGGGGCTGAGGGAAGAGGAGATCATTTATGCACCCTGGAAAACAGTACGTGGGTGTTTGTGGGTGGGCGAGGGTCAGCAGAGCCCTCACCCCAGGCTGTACCCCCCAGCTGCCAAACTGGGGTCTTGGAGAGGCATTTTCAAGGTGGTGGAAACGATTTAGGGGGCTAAAAACCAGCAGGCTCGCTTAAATGGGGGTTTAAAATAACACCCCCCTGCAGATAGGTGACTCCTGAAAGCAAATACCTGCACCCGAGCATCTCCAGGGAAACCTGGTAACTGCCTCCCACTGCCGGGAGAGAAATAGCTACAGCATGGGATCTTTGCCCTGAAATTCCTCATTTTGCCTTGAAACTCCTGATTTTGCCTCCTCAATCCCTAGCAGAGACCAGCTGCCCCCAGGAGCTGCAGCAAGGGGCAGGAGGGGACAGTGCACCTGAGAGTTTTCCTTTAGGTTTTTCACCAAAACGTTAACCAGACCCAGCCCTTGCCTCTTGCCATCTTATTTATGTCATTTTATCCCGCAAATGACCCAGTCCCCAAGTCAGCTGGAAAAGTGAAGGTGAAATATATCCTACCTTTTGCTGTTCCATCCTGCTCATCCACCTCAGGAGGCTCTGGGCTTTCAGAGATGCCCAAAACCCCACACCAAGCAGCCAGGCTGGACCCAATGTTGTCCCCAACACCCATTCAGCCCCAAGATGCTTCTTTTAAAACTGTCCCCCACAGGTCAGGGGAACTGGGGACAGGGACAAAGGCAGAGAGCAAAACCCTCTTGCTGTGGCAGGGCCAGGTCTCCTTTCTCATTTATGCAACAAGCAGCACCTGTGAGGAAGAGCCCAGCTCCCCACACTAACCACAAGCAGCTGTGGACTGGGGGTTGCAGGGGCATTTGGGTCACATTTAAATTTGGACAAGGTGAATGAAGGTTGGGGAAAGGTAGAGTGAGACAAAATTGGCTGTCCTTGCAAGCTGTGGTGTAATTGGTGTTGGCAGAGAACGGTTTTGTGCCCAGCCAAGGCAGGGCTCTGCATCCAAGGAGTAAAAAACTTCCTAAACAAACTCAGAAAATATTTTCTGGACCTTTGTCATCAGGCTGAAGGAGATGGATGTGAACAGAGCATCAGAGCAGACTCACATAGCCCTCCACCAGCCCCAGGCAATAAGAAGATCTTAACCTATACCAAGTGCCCGGGTAGCACTAACTTTTTACTTCTTTCACCAGAAGTTTGAGTTCCCCTGTCCTTCAGCACTCACTTACCGAACCCCCAGTGTAGCACAGCTTTGCCCCAGAAGCTTGGGGCAAACTCTTTCCAGCACACACCTGGAAAATGTCCCCATCAGCACCTGGGCAGTGTCTGTGCCTGAGGAAGCCCAGAGCTTCCTTAGCCCCTCTTTGACATATAATCAGCTAAAAAGGGGAAAGGAAAATACTGCTTTCTTCAGTAAATTCTCTCTTGCTGGTGCCTTGGCATTTTCACTTATCCTGTTATTGTTGTTTTGACAGGAGCTGTGTCAAACAAAAGAGATAGAAAAAGGCAACACCCCACACACAGAGCCCATGGCTGGGGGCACAGCATCACCTCCTCCAGGTACCCTCCAGCCTGGGAGTGCAGGGAACTGATCCCACTTCGGGCAATAAATGTTTTCTTTAAATTCTATTTATTTTGTTGCCGAGCTGTTGGAGAACAGGGCGCTATGAAGAGGTCAGAAGTGGGGCTTGCAAAAAGAAATTGGACATCCAGTTCACCTTGTGTGTCATTCAGGCGGGAGCTGGGAAGAGGTGACCTGAAGCTTAACATCAAGCTTGGAAGGGAGCTCTGCCAGAAAAGCAGCACTGAAAAGGAGCAGTAAGAGAGGCCAACCAGGAGAGGGCAATCATTAACTATGTTAAATAGCGGACCAAGCATTTGAGGAGCAAGTGGCATATACACAAGGCTGGAAACTTATCTTTACCTGTACAGCCTGAGGAAGAGGGTGCTTAGCTAGAAGAAACCACCCAATTCCCTTGACAGCAGCTTGACTGCCAGGTAGCCCAGCTGGGGCAGATGTTCCTGGCCAAATCCTTTGGACCTGCCAAATGCTCGCCAATAATGTCCATCCACAGTGAGATTTGCACACAATGACACTGACAAATTATCCTCCTGCCAGAGGGAGGGGGTGCTGGCCCATCCCGGCCTGGATTTTTACTTTCCCAGAGAAAGGGCCATGTTTTCCCATTTCCCAGTAAGCTCAGCACCCTGGAGGTGAGAAGATACAAGTGCCAAGGCTGAAATTGCTCTCTGTGCCTCTGGTACACCCCTGCACTTGTCAGGCACCTCACCCATCCCTTATCCCACCCCCAGCCCCAAAAGGAGGACAGCATTGTCATTGCATTTGTGTAAGTGGGGGAGTTTAACAAGAGACTGCTGTTGCTGCGTGTCTGGAGAGTAATCCAGTCTCTGCTCTAACCTAGTAATTAAGCACTCAAAATATCTCTCTTCCTTAAAAAGGAAGAAAATGAGCAAAGCTGGAGGGAAGGCAGCAGCGAGCCCTGATCCTCCCACTGCAGCTCCAGGGTGCCCTGTCCCTGTCCAGCCTTTACTGGGCAGTGTTTCAGAGTTGAGCCTTTGCACAGATTCCTGCAGCAATAATGAATTTTACCAGATCACAGAATCATTAAGGTTGGGAAAGGCCTCCAAGATCATCAAGTCCACGCTGTGCCCCATCCCCACCTTGTCACCCAGCCCAGAGCACTGAGTGCCATGTCAAGCAAGTCCTTCCCAGGACACCTTCAGGGATGGGGACTCCACCACCTCACTGGGCAGCCCCTTCCAATGCCAGACCACCCTTTCCGTGAAGAAATTCCCCCTGATGTCCAACCTGAACCTCCCCTGGCACAGCTTGAGGCAGTTTCCTCTTGTCCTGTCACTGGTTGCCTGGGAGAAGAGGCCACTCCTGGTCTCAGGGCACAGGCACCCAGCCAGCCCTTGCTTCAGACACCTTTTTATCACCATGTGACATGAAACATCACCCCCTGGGTGCTGAGGGGATGCCAGCAGCAGCCTCGAGCACTGCAGTCCACAAGTGCATCGATAAGAGTCTCAGCTGACTGAAGCTGACACTGCTGGAGAGCTCAGATTACAAGGACCCAGACTTTATGAGTGGATTTATAGCTGAATAAAAGCCTTGAATTACAGTCAGAGACATAAGGAACCAACAAATCCAGTCTGGCCCCCGCAGCAAGTTTTGTTAACCAAATCAGAGGCCACCTGCGCTACCAGCTATGGCTCCTGAATGACCTTCAGGGTTAGCCCCTGGTTGGGAGAAAAAATTGTACAAAGCCTTTATTTTGAGAACCCTGTAAGCCAAGTTCTTCCAAGGGGATAATTGGACTGCAGAGCTTTCAATTTTTCTGGGAAATTTACTTCTCTGAACAGAGTGTTATGGATACTGCAGACATGAGCAAAGTCCAGCAACACCCAGAGACAGGTAAACAGTGTTGGAACATCCCTGACTCATCACCACCAGCATTAGCCTTGGTCTTGCTGTCTTTGCATTTAAGAATTCTGTCCTCCCAGGCCTTCACAGGGAAAATCCTTCCCAGTGTCAGTGTCCTTGGTGAGAATTATCCTAGGAAAAGTCTGGCCACAAACAACGTCACTAAACCGTTATCAGGAAAGAGATGCAGACACGCAGTATCTCTTTAACAGACCTTTATTAGCAGACTGTTCCCTACATGAAGAATCCGAGTTAGATTTGCATTATAACAATTTGTGGTTACAGCTACAAAGATGGTTGTCATTTTGCATTGATTTTTGCATTCTGATATTCATATTCTCATTAGGCCACACTGGTAGGAAGGAGCCACTGCAGAATTTATGACAGGTCTCAGGAAGAGGGGGGTGGAAAAAAATCACTAATCCAGATTGGTTAGATTTCCATGTGGCTGCTACTGACAACACTGAGAGTTAAGGCAGAGCCTCACCTGGGAGACTCTCCATGAACCACCAAAATCTGTCAGGAAAAAAAGCAGCTGCTGAGTGCTAGCAAATCCTTCTCCAATTTCTCACACACATCTCACCAGTGTCCTCCTGCATGTGATGAGCACTGGCTCAGCAGCACGGTCTTCTGATTCAGCCTCAAAGCACTGATCCAGCTCGTGTCCAAGTGCAAGTTTCCTTCCACCTCTCTGGAAATGTGTATTGTCTTTATTCCCTGAGATTTCCTTCCTCCCCCCTCACCTAAAAATTCCCCAAATCCCTCTTAATTAGCTGTTGTGACATCCAACATACACAGACCTTCTACTTCCCAACTTCAGCCATCCACCCAAAGCCTTTCAGCCATGCACAGAGGCAATTCCAAGCTAAGGCAAGCCTCACAGTGCACCCTCTCCCCAAGGTTTCTGCTTCCTCACCCGCTCCCTTCTCTCCTATGGCTTCTTGCTACAGAATTTCTCTGGGCTGAGGTCCTCCAGCAACAACCCCAGACATGGGAAAGGCAGCTCAAGCCCCACGGGGAAGGTACACGAGTGACTTTAGCGTCCCTCCCCACGACTCAGCTGTGTGATATGAGAGAACTAATAAAGAACTTTTTAAAACAGGAGAAATATAAGCACAGTAACAATATTTAAACAAATCTATAAAAATAGTCCAACATAACTCTGTTCAAATAAATACAAAATAAATATGCTTTAAGCAGTAAAACAGTGGAATGCAACGCTGGTCCATTTTGCCCAAAATGAAAAGTTGGATGAGGATCTCCCAGGCCTCAGAAGCCGGATCCGATTAACTAAAGCAGCCCATAATGCAATCAGAGAAATTTTAAAGCCATCTCTTTCCCTTAGCCTTATGAAAAGCACCCTTTGAAAGACAAGCAAGCGTGTCTTCAGGACTGAAAGCTCACCTCTCACCTCTCCCCGTGACAACCAGCCCCTCTCCCTAAGACCCCCTCCCACAGCAGACATTCCTGACTCGGGGCACCCATGGAAACCTGAACATCCATCTACCAAGAGGTCTAAAGAGATAAATAGCAGCGTAGGCACGGGGTTTGGAAAAGGCCCAACAGCTCTCCTTGGCACCAGGCAGAATGGAATTGAGAGGTCCATGCAACGCTGCACAGGGGCTCTCACGTCGTGCTGGGAGCACAACTGCACAGGAGCTGTGAAATACTGTGTTTGTTCACTAAAGCCATGCATCACAGTGCCGGTCAGCCCAGGGCTCTCCTGCCTTCCCCTTCCCAAGCCCCTGCTGAGTATAAGACAAGCCAATCCCGGCATGCAAAGGATACAGGCATGCAGGCTCTAGTCTGCTGCTTCTGTTAGTAAGTGCATCTTGTTAGTGGGTTTATGAGACACACTTAAACCTATAAAAAATAAATAATTCTAATTCTTCATCAGGCTGGCTTAAGCAACCTTCAGCCTGACTGGATAAACCACTGCCCACCAGCCCTCCAAACCAGTATAGATCAAAATTACATTTCATGTAAAGTCTTGGAAGCAGAACATGAATGTCTCCTACCCAAAGGAATATTTGTAAACATCATAACAAGCCCAGTGTGGCAGCAGCTCCTACACAAGGTTTGTACAAATTTAAACAATGGGTAGGAAGTTAAACGACTGAATGGAAAAAGCAGCTCTCTGAATGGAAAAAGAAGCTCTTTCAGCAAGTCAGAAGGTGCTCATCTGTAGGCAAACAGCTCTGTACAGGCGACAGGCTGAGGGCAGACCTGTAACCCAGATCTTTGCTACTCTGTCATACTGCTGGGAACTGAACTCAGCAACTCCTGCCCTAAGATTCTCCCAGGAGTTCACCTCCTGGTCTCCCAAAGGCCCAACAAAAAGGACCACGTGATGGTTTATGTGGAGCTCTGAGTAGCAAGATGGCAAAGGACACCAGATCCTCCCCTCCCCCTTACTGACTCACAAACAATCTGGGATTTCACAGCTTTGCTTAGTCAGCTTAGTGTCGACACATTCACAGAATGAGAGATGGCTTATACGTCTTGGGATTGCATCCCAAGATTTCAGAGTTCAAAGTCCTCAGCATCTCCTGGTCACCGTGAATCCACGCCCAGAGTCATCTTCAAGTTCTCATACACCACGTAGCTGATGCTCACAGCTGGGATCACCTTCATGAAGTTCGGCGCCAGACCCCGGTAAAGCCCAAACGCTCCCTCTGTCTTCAGGATGTGTTTGAACAGTCCCCTCATTGTCACTTCGGGAGCACCCTCCACTGAAGCTGCAACAGGGAAAGCCACAATCAATAAAGCAGCCTAGGTGGTGAAAACGCGTTAAGAGCAGTTCTGGGTCATGTGCTTCCAGTGTTCACAGAGCAAAGGTGCTTTGTGGGGACAGCATTAACTTCTCAGCACGCCATGGCCATGCTGCACATCCCCGCTGTTTTCTCCAACTGCTCTACAGACGCCCTTAGCCCAAGACTCCTGATCTAAGCAAAACAGAATCTCTGTCCTAGAGGTCCTTGGCCCCAGTTGTTGAAGGGCAGCACAAAGTCCACTGTCCCCTTGCAGCATCACAAAGAGCCCACTGTCAGCTGCGTGGCCCAGCTGAGGCTATTGTCAAAATATTTACACTAGAGAACCTTTTACCCTGCTCAGAAACCACGGTAGGAGTTCCCACTGCTCCCACAAGTTCTCACCTTGGGCCTGCATGCGTGTCCTCA